AAAGTCCTCCCCAGTTTCCTTCTCTTTGGCAAAGCACGGTTTCTCACCCCCCATGTGCCCTCTCTCACCCCCTCCTCCCCTGCTTTCCTCTCACGGGTGTTCCGGCTGCCTCCAGCCAAGCCTTGTTCCCTGCCCCCAGCTGCACCAGGCCCCACTTCCGGGCATGCGTTCTCCCAGCTTTGTGCCTTTTTTCTTTTTTAAACCAGCTCCCCTTTTTCCTGAACGCTCCTCCCTTCAAGGCCCGAGCACCCCCGCTGGAGTCCCTGGTCTCCAGATAGGGTTCCGTTGACAGGCCATTTCTGTCTCCCCTGGTTCCCTGCAGGAACTGTCTGCGCCCTACCTGCCTGGTGTGCTGAGCGCTGGGTGAATCCTTTGCCCACCTCTCCTCTTAAATCTGAGTCCCTTGAGGCGGGGACTGTGCCTTCTCTGCACCTCGAGTGCTGGGCATAGTGTCAATGAAACACATTGGTATTTAACGTGTTTGTTGAGTTAACTTTGCTGTCATCTCTTGGAAGTGTGCTCGGCGAGGAAGTCGCGGAGAGCAAGACGGTGGTGGGTTGGGTTGCAGGGCTCCTGCGGGCGAGGGTGAGCGAGCGCTTCGGTGGGCGCTGCCGGCCCAGCCCGATGCCCACGTCTATTCCTGCGCCCCCTGCTCTCCTCGCGGGCAAGTTTACAAAACTACGGAAACAGACACTCTCCTCATAAGGGATACACTTACCTCGACAAGTAAAGTGAAGAATGATGGGAAATATATATAAAATAGAAAATATTTTTAGCTTAAAAAATAAAGGGGCGCTGCCTTCCCATCTTCTCTCACATCTGAGGTTGTCTTGCCTCCTGGCAGGAGACCTGAACTCATGGGAGTCTGAAATCAATCCACGGACTTTCTCTTCATCCACCAACCTAAAAGTGAGATTCTTGCGGGAGCCACTCACGACACAGCGCTCCCCATTCATTTTTATTCGTGCTTCTCCTGACTGGGCTCTGAGCAGTTCTCCAGTGGGACGCCACCAGAACTTCCCCTACCCTCTGGGCACCCTGAGTGCCCTTGCTTCTCTTGCTACATCTCTGCTTCCTTTCTGACATGTTTCTAGAGATGGCCACACCTCAGTATTCATTATCTCTTCTTTGGATGTGGCCAGAACTCTCCCTTTGAGTCCTGGGGTCTCAGGTTCCTCCCCTGGAGCTGCATGGGGATGGGGAGTGCCCTGACCCACCCTGCATGCCAGAATGGGTGTGATGGGACAGCTGTGCTGAGGTCGCCTTTGTCCCTTTCTTTTCCCCTTCTCCCTGTTCTCTCCCTCTCTGACTTGCTGCCCGTCACCACGGTTGGTGGTGCTCAGGCCACGGGTGCAGCCACACCAACCCTCAGACGTGGGAGTCCATGAGTTCTCATCACCTCAGCCCTAAGCCCTCCAGTCTTCCAGCTGAGGGCCAGAAGTCACAGAGCAGGAAGGCCATCCCCACTGGGGACTGTCTCAATTTCTGACCCACAGAAATTATACAAGTGGTGATTATGAGCCTGATTCAATTTGAGGCTATGGGTCACTAACACACCAAGAATCTCTCTTCTCTTGTCCTCTCCCAGGGCGATTTCATTCACATTGTAATGTCCAGTTGTCCCTCCCACCACCACCTCTCCTGTCCAAGTGTCTCCACTGTAATTGCTCCTGACCTCTTGTCCGTGTTCAGCGTTGCACCACCAGCTCTCTGTGGGCATCTCTTCCTAGGTATTCCTCAGACTGGCTACTGCATGGAACCTATTGTTGGCAATGTTAAATGAGCATGTACTGTGTCATGAACTCAGTGTTTTACAAAAAAATCTATTGTCTCACAATTCCGGGGGCTGGAAGTCCCAAATCAGGGTGTCTGCAGGGTCATGCTCTCTCTGAAGGCTCCAGAGTTTGCTAAAACAAATTCTCCATTTGTTCCTGCTTTTCCCCTAGTTTCCGGGGCTGCCAGCGTTCCCTGGTTTCCTTGGCTGGCAGACCCAGCTTCTTCTGCACTCACTCGGCTGTCTTCTTCCCGTGGGCCTCTGTGCCTCTTCAGTTTATTAGGAAGCAAACCTTTTCCTCTGCCCTTCTAGGTTCTTAGCTGAGATGCCCCTATAAGGAGGGAAAAAGTAGAATCCTATGCATATGAGCTTCAGAAAAAGGTTCAATGAAATGACTAATGCAGATTGCTTTCATAACTTTTAGGGAAAAAAGCAAGAAACGTGTGAAGAGTAGACAGGACAGAGCAATTTTAGATTTGGACACCAATTTTAGTGTGTCTATGGCAGACAATATACGAACAAATGGGTATGACAATGGTGCAATAAAACTTTATTTGTAAAACAGCTACCGGACCAGCTTATCTCTCAGTTTGTTGTCTGCTACCCTAATCTAGGATAGTACTCACACTTTTTTTTTTTTTTTTTTTTTGGTTGGGTATGTGCCTTGAGGGTGGGATGTCTTTTAGAGTGCTGACACTTTCCTTGTAGAATGTTTCACAGTCTGGACTTGATTGTTTTATTTTGATTTGATTTAGGTTAAATGTCTTGGCAAGAATACCACATAAGTGATACAGGGGAAAACTGTGAAGGACTTTGAAATTAACCCAAAATATTATTGGATAACTTCACGGAAAATAACGTATTGTCTTGCACCTTTCTGGACTATAAAAAACAACACAATTTAACTGCGTGTAATTGAAAGACCTTACCGACCTTATACAGTGGTCAGAAATGGGGCAGCTTCCAGTCTAGCAGATAAAAAGGAGCCCTAAAGAGCTGTACAAAATGAAAGATTTTTATAGGCAGAAGGGAGCAGGACAAGGAAGATAGATCAGCCAAAAGCAAATGGCTGTGGCAAGCCTCCTTTAGGGGATTGCAGGAGCTGGTCAGGCAGATCACCTCGTTAGTACTAACCAGACAACCTTAAATTAAAGATTCCATTCCTGGGAGAAGCTGAGACTATAATTAAATTAGGTGTGAAGCCTTGGTTTGGTGACCTGGGTCTTACCACAAGTCACTCCACTTTGGATCTGTTGTCTCTTTTCTTTTAATAGATTCTATGTGGTTTTCATTGTCTTTAAGCTATTTTACAACTCTGTAAATTGTAGACTCTTAAGGGAGAGTTCTATGATTTTTGTCTTTAGAAATGCAACGAATGACCTATGGATATTGATCAATCTTCCATCTGTTACAGGGCAACCCTGTTGTGAAATGGGTTGCTTGCCTGTGGGTCCTCACCCACATGCTTAGAAGGGACTTAGAAGAAGACTCAACTGCAGGCACACACAAAAAGGACACCCTTTCCCCCCAACACATCTATTAGGCATTCTTGACAGTCTATATATGTGCTGGATTCGCCTTTGAACCAGTTGTAACATGTTACTGGATCTCACATTATTTAATGAGTTAAGTAGCATCTTTGACACATGTTCATTTCACATCTGCATCTGAGTCATAATTACACCCTGTTTTAAATATTACCCTAAGGCAGTATTTTTCATTGCATCACTTTAGGAAGTAGAAATTGTTAGTTTTTCCAAATATTGGTGATACAGACTTTAATTACTTGATTAAGGTGGTTCCATCAGCTCTTTCCATTGGAAAAACATGTATTTTCCCTTTACTAGGGAAATACACTTTGAGGATGATACGTTGAGACACAGTGAACATTCTGGTTTGCTATATAATTTTTCACGATTATTTTAGTGTCCATTGAAGATCTTCGCATCAATTATAATATCGTAGTTGCAAAATAGGGAGCCTTTTTGATGCCCAGAGCTGGACATCTGAGTGCTGCCTTGCGGGCTCTAATACGGTCTTTCTCTCCTGGACTGTATTCCAGTCATGCCCCAGGCTTTGGGACTGTCTGGGGTGGGTTCAGACCCTGTTTTTTCACTTACTGCTGCATGTGCAGGCAAGTTATTTAACCTCTGTGCCTCAGTTTCCTTATCTGTAAAAACGTTTGCTGTTTAGCTCTTACAGGGTTGTTCAGATTAATTGAGCTAAATCAAAGCACGGAAGGCTAGTGGGCCCATAATTACACACGAAATATTATCTATTATTAAACCGTGATTATTTGTACGTGTTTGGAGCCCATCTAAAAGGGCCTTGGAGTAAGTTATTTCCTATCGCTGAGCCTCTGCTCCCAACTTAAGCGTTTCTGGATTCAAACAAGAGGGAACTTTTTATTCTGCTGGGGAGTGAGCATTGTGGCCACCCAGATTCTTCTGCATCTTCCTGTTTGCTCCTGCAGAAGGTAAAAGCCTTCGTCTTTCCAGGCTTGTTATTATTATTCACTGTCGTGCGGCGCTCACAGCCATGCGCAAGGCGTGGGCTTGAGCAAATATTTGGAGAGAGGAATTAGCAAACTTCGGGGCTCGCCTCCCGCGCTCGGCGGCTCCTCTGCCGACGTTGCAGCTCCGGTCCCCACACTCGCGCCGCCCCCCCCCCGCCGGACTCGCGCTCGGGGACACCCCTGGGGGCCGCGGGCCCCGCCGGACCCCGCAGGGCAGCGGCCTGTCCGGCTCGCCCGGGCCCCGGGCCCCGCCGGCGCGAAGCCCCAGCCCCGCGGGTCCCTCCGGCGCCGGCCGGGGCTGGACGCGGCCCGAGGCGGGGAAGCGGGGCGCGGGGCGCGGGGCGCGGGGGGCGCGGGCCGGGACCCCGGGTGGCCGCCCGGCACCTGCGCCCGCGCCGCTTCCTGCCCGCGCCACGTGACGGGGCGGGGCCGGGGCGGGGGTCACCTGAGCCGGGGGTCACGTGAGCGGGGCGGGGCGGGGGCGGCGCCGCGCGGGTCACGTGACGGGGTTCCGGGGCCGCCGCCGCGCCGAGCCCAGCCGAGCCGCGCTCCCCTCGGGCTCCCGCTCGCTCCGCTCCGCGCCCGCCGGCCCGGCCGCCCGCCGCCCGCCGCCGCCCGCCGCCGCCGCCCGCCGCCCTGGCGGCCCCACCGCGTCCCGCGCGCGGCCCCGCGCCGCCCCGCGCCGCCCGCCCCGCGCCCGGGCCCGGCGCGATGGGGGCCGCCGCCGCCCGGAGCTGCCCCGCGGGGCCCGCGCCCGCCGGCCGCCCCCCGCTCGCGCCGCTGCTGCTGCTGCTGCTGCTCGGGGCGCCGGCGGCCGCGCGCGCCCAGGGCGCCGACTTCCCCGAGCTGTGCAGGTGGGTGCCGGGGGCGGGGGCGGGGCGGGGGTCCGGGCGCGCGGGGGTCGGGCGGGCGCGGGCGGAGGGCCGGCCGCGGGGCGGGGGGCGCACCGCCGGGGCCGCACCGCCGGGGCTGTCACCGCGTCCCGAGGGCCTCCGGCCCGACCCTGCGGGGACCCCCGCGGCACCCCGCGCCCGGCCGGCCCTGCCGCCGCCGGCGTGGGAGCCGCTGGACCCCGGCCTCGCTTTGTTCCCGCCGCCCGGTTCCCTCAAAGTTGCGCCCGCGCGCCCCGGCTGCGGGGAGACCCGCCCGCGCGCCCCGGCCCCGGGGAGCGGGGTGTCCCGGGCCCACGCGTGTCCCCGGGCGGGCTCCGCGGGCCCCTCAGTCGTCGCGCGCGGGGCGTCGCTTTGCCCGGCGTGGCGGGGGCGGACGGGGGGGGGGGCGTCGTGCCGCGGCGGCCTTCGAGGCTCGGCCCCCGCCCCCCGGGAGCCCCGCTCCCCGCCGCGGCCCCGCGGGAGGGGCCGTGGGCGCCCCCGGCCCGGGCTGGGGGGGCGTCGGGCCTGCCGCGCGGGTCCCGCCGGGGAAACCGCCGAGTCTGCGAATCTTCAGGACCGTTTGGGATGATGAAAAATGTAGCTTTCATTGATTTTTACAACTTTTTAGTGGAGAGGAAGCAGGAGGAGAAGCTCGCAAGGACGAGCGAGCGGGCAGCGGACCCCGGCGGGCCGGAGCAGGCGGAGCCCACGTGGACGCTGCGCGGGGCCTGCGCGTCCTTCTGGGGTCAGGTTAACAGTCCCGAGCTCAGAACTTGCAGAAATTATTGCGGGGAGAGTGGGGCGGAGTCCCCGGGCAAAGCTGGAGGAAAAAACCATCTTCTCTAGTTCTTCTGCCTTTTTTTGGAAGGGGCCACGGCAGGAGGGCGAGGTCACCGCCCCTGCTTGGCAGATCAGCGCTCTGTCCCCAGACACCTCATTACGCAGGTCATGAGCCTGATAGAGAAAAGGTGTACCCGGCTACTCAAATAATGAGCTTGATGCGGGGAACGGTGGTGATTTTATACAAGGTCAGGCTGACACTTTAAAGGCAGAAAGTAGTTGTGGCGTCGAGGCTGCAGCGCCCATCCTTGAGAAATGAACTCAGCTGGGTTAGTGGCGGGGCAGTCTTGGTCTTGTGAGCGCACTTACATTTATTTCTTAATTGTTAGTTAAGCTTCCACTTGGTCTCAAGGGTAGAAGGGTCTGGTGGCTGATGCGGGGGTGGGCGGGGCTTCCTGGCCCTGGGTTACCCATCCCAGGGATCTGAGCTGGCATTCCTGAACCTCACTTCCCTGTGCAACCTGGTCTGTTGGCTCAGTAGGCAATGCTGTTTGTGCCTTTAAATACTCTGGCCACCCTCACACGTGGGCAAATTTAGCAAATGCTCTCAGGGATGGTAGCATCTCCAGTGCAGGGATGTGCCCTCTGCAGTTTTACTCTCTTTAAGGTTTTACTTTTCCTTAGGACCACTAGCCTCCCAGTCCCCTGGGAGTTGGGCTTCCTCTCTCCCCTCCCTGCAGCTGCCCAGTGGTGAGCAGTCTGCCCCAGCGCCACGTGTAATCGCTATACTCAGTCCCTGCTGAGTGAAGTTCTTTGTATTTGTTCCTGTTTTAAATGGAGACCTTGGCTTAAATACTTGTTAAGACGTTTCCCCCCCTGGGGAGGGGGGAGGAGGTGTCAATAATCTGTGTACTTTATGAGATAACACCGGCTGAAAGTTCCTTACCTCCTGCACTTGGCTGAAGGCTGGCACGGGCAACTGATTACTTTTAAAATCCAGTTTGAAAAGTTCTGCCAGGTCTTACCAAAGTGGGATGATTAAGTTGCCCTTTAATTTCATTGCCTGGTGTCCATTTGGCTGACATGTTAATACCTCACCCAGGTCTCTAATCTGAGCAGGGAAGGTAGCCTCTGCAAGTGTTACTGTTTGTTTTTAACAGTTTGACCAGGTGGTACACACAAGGATCACATTTGAATATTTGTGTTGCTTGTTTGTCTTGTTCATTCAGGTTGCTGCCTTAGGGCAGGCCCCAGGAACCCATCTGCCAGGCCCTGATGGGTTTGTCCAGACAATGGAGTGCCCAGACACTGCAGCCCTCACCAGCACTCAAGCAGCAAATTCTTGTCTGTGAACAATGGAGTTTGATTTCTGGGGAACCACCCCTCCTGCCAAGCTAGCTCCTAGAACCCAGAGGGTGCTGATCCTCTGCATCTGTGAGGGCCAACCGTAGGGTAGTGGGGTGCTGCCGGGCACCTTGTGGCCCTCAGGAGGGGGTGAAGCTTTGGGGTGAGCTTGGGTTCTCACCACTCATGGTGCTTCTAGGGAGGGATGGAGGAAACAGTAGAGGAGCAGTTTTGGCTGCAGCTTTCACCGCGTTCAGACAGCTGGAGGAGAGGCCCTTCCCTAGCCCTGCAGGGAAAGGCAAAGACAGAAGCAAGTTTTCCAAAGTATCTGGCTCCAAGAAGCACTTTTGATAAGTGCTTGTTCTTTGGCGAGACTCAGTCATAATGTTTTTAAGCTTCGAGAGGGTTGCTGTGCCAGCTGAGTCCTGTGCTTAGGGATGTTGGGGACTCACAATCCATTACTTCTTGGGAGGTGGCGTGCCAGTAGAAAGAACTTGTTTCCAGTGTGCCTGGCTGCGGGAATGGCATGTCCACAGGTCCTGAGGCCCCAGGGAGGGTTGTGCTGGTGAGAACTGTTGGGAGGTCTGTGGACCAGCGAGAGCAAGGGGATAGGGACGGATAGGGAGGGGGGTGGGGGTGTGGGAACAGTCATGCAGATTCCCCCAAAGTGGCCACAGTACTCTCCTGCTACCCAGTCGCTTCATTCACACTTTGTCAGATGCCACCTTGCAAATTTAATAGGTGAGCGTCCACCCTCCACATGGGCGTCAGCTTCTCAATGAATGACGCCTTAACAGCTGGTGCCAGTTCTATCAAATGCGTTGGGCTGGCTGGGTGTGGGTAGTTAAGCACTTTGAAATTTATTCAGGATAAGTCTTCCCCATACTGTTGGGGTACAAATGCTGGGAAGTTTTGATTATATTGAGGACAAGAGAATAATGAAGCCAGCTGGGAGCTGAGGTCGGTTTAGTTGCTGTCTCTAAGGAGATGTTTTTTCCTGAGATTTTTCCGGAGGAACAATGCTTATGTGAAATAATTTGGGCCACATGTGAGACCTGGACCTCATCCATTTGTGTGTATATGTTTCTTGCAACAGTAAGTGTGTGGAGAAGCCCAAGGTGTGCATCACGGGCACGGAGACGTGCTGTGTCAGTCGGGCAGCTTCCTGACGGAGTCCCAGGAAATGGATTCTCATGGAAGCGCACGTCTTCGAGCAGTGTTCTGTGGATGCGTTTTTAAAAGTTGGGCCTGAGAAAATTAATTTCAATGTTCTCATCTTCATCCTGATCTTGGCACATAAAGCTATATTGTTCTGGGCAGAGAAAACTCAGCAGCGTCCCGGAGCCGGGGCTGGTGGCTGGAAGGGGCCCTGCCTATGCAGGTTCCATACTGTTCTTTGCCCCCTTTTATTGGGAAAGGAAATATTCCTTTTATCTCCCAGTCACAGAGAGCTCTCTTAACGCCCCCGCCCCGTGTGGACAGTGTGTGAGGAGGTGGCGTGGCTGGGCTCCCTGCTGGCCCCTGGCATTTTCCTGGGACCAGCCTGAGTTATGCTAATGGTGTCTCCTGCTCTTTGATCCTGGCCAGGTGATTTAGGATTCATTCATTCTCCCTGTATTTCTTAAGCGATGGGGTGTGAGGAGTGGGAGGGACTGGCCTGAATTGGTGACCCCGCAAACTTAACTGCCCCGGGGCCCTGGAGGACCACTGGAGGGGGCCGCTCCCCAAGAAAGGCAGCACAGACACCTCCCTGATTTTTGCTCATTTAAAATAAGGTGTAATCAACAGTTTTAATTTTCTCTTTGAGCCAAGAATAATTTAGATGTTGCTAGTCTTGGGGCCATGATGAATAAGGCTGTTGTGTTTCTGCGGGGGCTTGTGGCGAATGTTCCTCGGGCAGCGAGCGGCTCCCTGAGAGCTGTGGGATGGGACGCCTCAGTGGTTGTCCAGCGCGTGCCCCCCCAGTCCCCGTTGCGTTCCAGATGGCCCACATTCTGTCAGCATTTGCTCTTATCAGTCTTTTCAATTTTGGCCATTCCTCCGGGTTGGCGGGGGCGCCTCAGTGAGGGGTGGATTTTCTTCCTGCTGACGCAGCACCTGGAGGTCTTGCCTCGCTCTCCCTGGAATGCCTGCCTGCGCCGGCCCCAGTCCTTTGACCGTTTGGATATGTTTTGTAGGGTCTGATAAAAACCATCTCTTGCCCTCCATCCCTCAAACAAAATTTTGGGTCATGTTACTGCGATTTAAGATTTTCCAGTGTCTTCTGGGTCCATGCCCTTTCTCGGGAATGAGTAACTTACGTGCATTATGAATATTCGCCCTAGTTTTGGGCATACCTTTTAATTTTCTTAATATATTTTTTGAAGAACAGATATTTTGAAAATTTACATGAACTTCAAATTATGCTTGTTACAGCCTAAGAAACCATTCCCTCCCCCAGAGTGTCTCAGGCTCAGCACTGCTAGGTTAGCGTGGGGGATGCTTTGCTGTGGATGTGCACGGAAGGCTGTTCAGCAGCCGCCCTGGTCTCTACCGTTAATGCCCATAAACGCCAGGGGTACCCCATCCCCATACCCCCTGCCCCAGTTATGACACACAAAAATGTCTCCAGACACTTAAAATGACTCCTTGGGGACAAAATTCCCTTCAGTTGAGAACCACTGTTCTACTCGAAGATCAAAAAGATTTTCTCCTCTGTTTGTTTCTAGAAGTTCTGTACTTTTAAGTTGATGTTTAACCCTAGGATCAATTTTCATGCTAGTTTTTATGTATGCATGTTGTGAGGAAAAGATGAAAGTTAATTTTCTCCAGAATATGTTTAGTTCTCTTTACTAATGTTCTAGTAGGATGCTCACAGC